AGAAATAAAAGACATAAAGAAAAACTAAAGATTTAGACTTGAATAATATAGTAACAGAAATAAAAATTCAGTGGAACCCAACAACAGAAAGGAGAGGACAGAGGCAAGAATCAGTGCATTCGAAGACAGAACAGTAGAAATTACCCAGCATGAATGAAAGAGAAAATATACTAAGGAAACTAATATGAGCAGAAACTCAGCAACTTTGGAATAAAACAATATATTTAACATGATGTCATTGGACTCTCAGACAGGAGAAAGCAAATAGGCTGAAAAATATTCTAAGAAATAATGACTGAAATTTTTCCAAAAGACATAAGCCTATAGATAAGCAGGTCAAATCCCAAATGGTATAAACCTAAAAAAATCTATACCAAGGTATATCATAATCAAACTTCTGAAAGCTGTAGACAAAGAAAAAAACTAAACGTAAAGCAGGAGAGAAATGAGTCCTGACCAGTGCAGCTCAGTTGGTTGCAGCATCAGCCCATACACCGAAAGGTTGGGGGTTTGATTCCCAGTCACGGCACATACCTAGGCTGCAGGTTTGATCCTGGTCAGCGTGCTTATAGGAGGCGACCAATTGGTATTTCTCTCACATTGATGTTTCTCTCTCTTCCTACCTCTCTCTCTAAAACCAATAAACATATTTTTTAAAATGCCATGACCTAAATAAAGTTCCCACACAAAATAGTAATTATAAAAAAATATTTTTAAAAAAGGAGAGAAATAACATTTTACCTTGAGGAGGAAAAAACTACAAATGACAGATTTGTCATCATAAACCATGGATACCAGAAGGAAATAGCACATTTTTAAATGCAGAAAAAAAGATATACATCAGCCCCAAATTTTGGCTATATTATTCTTCAAGAATAAAGGGAAATTCAAGACATTCTCAGATGAAGGAAAATTAGGAGAATGTGACATCAATAGATTACCCTAAAGAATGACTAAAAAGTTCTTGAATAGGCACGATCTTGTTTTACTAAGGGATGATATAGTTATTATTCTTATCACAATTGTATAAATGAAAACATGCATGCTTAGAACAATGATAGAATTTTATCAAAGCTTGTCCAAAAATAGTGTTATAGGATAAAAATCAGTTTTAAAAGAAAGCTATTTAGGAAGATTTTAAACTTATTCCCCCCTTGCCTCCTTAGTTACATTGTAGTTTAAAATCAGTTTTTTAAATCTTCTTTAACTCTTAAATGGAAATATAAATACCTTTTAATTGTAAGTGTAATATTCCGTCCACAGAACTAGACTATAAAAATGGGTGTAATACTTTCAACAAATTGCAAAAACCATATTCTTCAAATATCCTGCCCTTAGCTAACCAATATAATGGCAAACAGCAGTCATTCGGAATCTGCTGGGGCCAATTTACTGGTGCAGTGGGCAAGGTCCGGAGCTCCCAGCGGTAATTAGACAATGGCGCCTGCTCTCCATTAGTCTTGGTTACTGTAGTCATTCCATATGCAACCCATGCATGCTGACTAGTGAACTAGATCATGTATCTTCTATAAATTGCTCTTGTTCGTCACTTGTAATTTGTTTTATGTTTCCCACAATTTCAAACCAGCAGTGTCGGGAACACATGTTTTCACAATTACTAAGAAAACAGCAGAGAATGTGTTTCTCCAAACTCATCCTTACTCTTGGCTATTAATGTTTATGTAAGATACTGAATATTTTTAAAAATTATCAAAGCCTGTGAAAGTGATTTTTTAAAAAACACAAGCTAGGGAACATACTCCCTTACTGCCAAGAATATTTATTCTAAAATTATGAGATCTCTCTCTCTCTAGAAGAGACTATAAAATAGTCTACATTGTTTTCCCTATTCAGCATTATGATAGTCAATTTATTAGCAATATATTATTTGAAATTTGATATTAACATCCATTATAGATTTAAATTCAGTTAATATTCTTAATGTACATTATTATGTATTAGATAAGCAAAGAAGTTTTAACCATTTTGTCCATGGGTGCGTCTATATTCAGTGAAAGCTAACAGTGTGCTACTTTCTTATTGTATTTTGACATATTGTCAATGCCCGTAAATATATGCATAGCCTCAAATACAATATCTTACCAAATAAGTATTGATCATGTGTCAGATGCTTGGCATAACAATGAATATTTCAACAGCATCCCATTAGAGCTTTGAACAACTATGGAGGGTAAAATATCCAATACTGATCTACACAAGTATCTATGCCTCACATACCGCTTTCTAGACATCGTTTCCTTTTATTAATGAGAATTTGGCTCATAACATAAAAATATAAGCTAAATAAATTGGTTTATAAACTTTTGAGTGCATTATAGTCTGACATATAAGTAGATGATGAATGCTTGTTACACAAATGAGTAAAAATTTGCGACACAAATATAAAAATAAAAGGTTACATATAAAGTGAGATTTTATAGTGATAAACAAATACAATTGCCTTTAAAGTAAACTTATTTTAATAGCAATGAGTGAAACCCAAGTTTCAAATATATTCCTAAGATTATCATAGACTTCATTCATAGCATACTATTAATAGAATATGTATAAATATAAAATATAAACCGATTATTCACATTTTATACCTCTAAGCTTATACTTCTGAATTACTATGTATCAAATTTTTTAATATTTAAATCTTTATTATTCATGAAATAAAAAGATAAAACCACAATAGGCTTTAAAATACTGAAGCTCTTTTGAATTCAAATCTCTATCCCAATATTAAAAGTAATGAAGCTTCAAGAGACAGCTGTATACACATTAATTGCTGTAATTATTCAAGCTACTTTCTTACCCTTAGGGGCCACCTTATTTCTAAGCCAAAATGGCATTCTTAGCCCACTGACAATTAGTATCTGATAAATGATGCTACTGCCACACTTCTAATTTAGTGATTGATCATTTCCAGTTAATTCCTGAGAGAAATCAATGATTTCTTCCTGAAGCATTTACATTATGTTAATATGAATACCCTATATCCACCATTTGCTAGGGAAGATGAGCCATTCTATTTACAACTGGCTACTACTTTAGAGTTTAGGTACACTGTTTCAGAGCACCAAAAAAATGTATAAAAACTATGAAGATCAAGTAAAACTGGGCAATTTAATCCCCGTAACTAAATCAAGATATTGGTAAATGTTGATTGAACTCAAATTCAACAAAGTGTCGGAAGGTTTTTCAAACGGGTTGTAGCTTAGAAATGTTTTAATGTATTGGAGACCCCACTTTTTGTTTGGACTTGTACTTCTTGTATCAACTACTCAAATGACTTGCATTTCTTAATGACCCTAAAGGTAATATTCTAGTCAAATATTTGCTCCATTCCTTTTCATTTTGTTTATTCCATTCTTATGCATTCATAGTTATCAACTACTTAATGCATATCTGTATAGTGTGAGGGTCTTGAATGTTCCAGCAACAGAGGCAGCCTTGACCTCACTGAGTTAATACTCTAGTGCAGCGATTTTTCAACTGGTGTGCCGTGAGAATTTTTAAAATGTGCAATACCTTACTATTTAGTCAGGAGTATTGACCTCTTTTCCCTTAGACTGTCAAATAAAAAAAAATGTCAACAGCCACCACAATAACTACTTGCTGTGAATGAATCAAAATTATATCTTTTTTGTCAGATAACCAAAAAATATAACATTTTTTGGTATGCCACCAAATTTTAGTTTATGTGGGCCATGAGATAAAAAAAGGTTGAAAATCAGTGCTCTAGTGGAAAAGACAGACACACATGAATACAGCTATAATTAACAGGAAAGTGGGTGGCCTGAAGAAAATTAACAGGGAACATATGTAGCTAGAGGCATTATGAGAAAGTGAAATTAAAATGAGAAGTGAAGGTTTACAACATTCTTGGCTGAAGGAATAATGAAAGTTTCTAAGAAGAAAGCTCAGCCTCTCCTAAGAAATCCTATATTTTGGAGTCTATAGAAATTGGCTTAGTATGGAATAATTTATTACTGAAAACAAACAAGGTGAATTACATGGGCACAGATGCTAATATCGATAGATGTGGTGGTCAAGGTCTACCTAAGTTCTCTTCCAATTCAATTTTCTCGGTGAATAGCACTCAGAGCCCACTACTTGAGCATTTAGGTGGAGTAAGGATTTTAGAGGTACAATAAAAGAAGAGAAACCACCTAATTGCAGAATCTGGGAGAGTTATGGATGGGTGACCACATAAATTGTCAGGTAAACCAGGACACTTTAGAGAATAAAAGGGGACACTTGTATTAATTATGCCAGGGCATCAGGCATAACTCAAATCTGTCCTGAGCAAACAAGAAGTTACGCTCAGCCTAACCTATACTAGGGGGATGAGTGGAGAGGGAGAGAGGGGGAAATATGTTGGTGAAATAGATGTAAGAGTTAGAAGAGGAAAAATTCAAGAATAATTTCCAGGTTTCTGGCTATTTACTAAGAAATTCATGAGAATAAGCAGGCTTATGTGGGGATATTGATTTGTTTTAGGTATGTTTGGTTTGAGTGGCTTCTGAGACCTATACATGAGATCACATGGGATGATAGTGTACACCAAAGAGGAACCAGACTGTTAAAGTCTGAGAAATCCCAGGAAAGGCTGATTAGGAGAGAAGTTAGCCAGAAAATCAGACTGAAAATAAGTACCTAGAAATGTAAGAGAAAACCAGGATACAGTGGTCACATAATTTAGAATAGAATTTCAAGCCTGGTTTCAAAAAGAAGGGAGTGGTCAAAATGCCTGAAGTCCCAGAAAGGTCAGGTAGTTTGATACCAGAAAAATGTCATTTGAATTTGGCATCATGGAGATGACTGGTGACCTTGACAAGACTTATTGCAGAGGGGTACTGAGGACAGAATTTAGATGGATGAGTTAGCTTTTCAGACCACTTCTGACAACACAGTTGTTGGTTACAGAAAACTTTTCACTACTGGAGGTTTTTAAAAAAAACTAAGTAAACCATACTGATAAGACAAAAAAGGTGTCTTGTCAATTTAAAGTGTTTTTTTTTATTTGAAAAGTATGTATCTCTTCAGCATTCCTAAAAAGCAAACTATTGTTAATTACATGGCTTTAAGTAGGGTACTTCCAATATCACCTCCTCTATCCAGAAAAATCCATGGCACCACAAGCCAGTTACTTTACATATTTCTAATTGTAGATTATAATTACACCTATTATAAATTAGCACCTAGAATATTTTGGACACATTATAGATTTGGTGGGACACTGGAATTTTAACTTTGTAAACAGTATATTCAAGTAATCAATAACAAAACGTTGTCCAGAGAAATCTGGGACCCGGGCTGAGACCTAAACCTTGTATTTTCCCCAATGCAACATCATGCACCACTCCCAAGAGCTAACAACAGGTCTGTCCAGATGCTAAGACCAGGGACTTCAAAATCTCCATCTTGTGCTTTAGAGGCCTCCAGAGCCGTTAGAACTTCGTCTTTCAGAGGTGAAGAGGCCTGACAGAGGCTTTGAAACCTGCTGTACAACTCCTCCCAGGGCACATCTCGGTCCTCAACTCCAACCCAAATGCCTTTCTGAAGATCGTAGTGCAGATGTCGACCCCATTCTGTGAGCAGACCCAGATAGACTCGAAAAAGCTCTGGGTGGCAGCCTGCCACCGAAGTTAAAAGCGCGGCTGAGAGGCTGCGACAAAAAGTAGCCATGATGTCCGACTTTCCCAGAAGCCAGTGAACCAGCTCGTGACCCCCCTCTCCCTGAGTTCTGGGGCTGCCCAGTCCCAACTCCTCTTTGGGCGGCCGGGGGGATGACGACGGCAGCAGGAGCGCGGCCGCTATCACCTCCAGGAAGTTGTTCCGAGGCAAGCGCTCCCACAGGCTGCTGAGCAACTTGCTGGGGCCCTCCGCTTGGGCCTTGCCCACCTCCTGCAGACGCTCCAGCAGCAGCTCCGCCTGAGTCTTTACCAGTAAGTCGTTCCAAACGGCGGAGTTCTCTCCAAAACCGTTGAAGCGCAGCAGGTGGACAGCGGACCGGCGGCGGGCAAGGACGGCCAGGCGGCCCTGGAGCATCTCCTCTTCGGCGTCCGGGACGCCAGGGCCGGGAAAGAGCTGCTGAAGCAGGCAATGAAAGGCGGCATCCCCGAGGGCCCGGTTGTCCAGCAGGCGTTGAGACAATAGGATGTCGCAGCGCCCCAAATCCCGGAAGCTCGTCAACCCGGGGACAGCAGCGGGCCCAGAGCCGTCCTCCTGCTTCCACCGGCTTTGCAGCCGCCGCTCCAGTGCCGTGCGAATGGGGACATGACCGCCAAAGCGCCTGTGGACTTGGCGCATGTAGCGAGCCCACTGCAAGGCCCTACGCACGGCGACAGCGTCCCAACTACTGACATGGGGTGTGCGGGAGACAGCCAGAACCTCGGAGATGCGATCCAGGTGCTGCAAGAGCGATTCCATGGGGGCGCGCTAGGGCCTTACTTCCGCTTTCCCTCACGCAATGGCGATTCTCTGCGAGCCGATTGGATTGTCCACGAAAAGATACGCCTTCCTGCAATGCTATTGGATGAAATCCCAGTCAATCTGACAGCTCATCTTTAATCCGGGGACTTTGACTGTGGGAAATTTAAATTAGAGAAACTGCGGGGCGCTTTTATGTTGGCCTTCAAACCTTCAGGGGAGGAAGTGTAAGTGTAGGCGTCTGAGCGAGAATTCCCAGAGACCCGTGAGAGAGGCTGTTAGTCACGAAACTCTCTGTGCATCCTTTTTCTTTGGAAATAATCGCTTGTAGAGATTTCCTAAATTTTGCTTGAGAGAATCGTGTTGAGGTTTATCATAATCGGAAACCGCTAGACACATGATGTTACATATAAGAAAATGTTATGAAATGAAATTTTTAGTTCAATTCCATTTAGTAGAAATGTACTAACTCCAGTTAATGCTAGGCACAATGCAAAAGTCTGGGCTTTGACGTTTTTTCATTATTAGATTTGAAGCTCAGGTTAATTGAAACAAAAAGTAAACTTAACAATTAATACTTCATTACAGTTTTAAAAGAAATTAGAATTTTATTTCAAAATCACACTTTTTTTTTGGTTTCAGAAATTCCAAGGCAAGATAGCTTAGTTGACACATTTCACACAAATAATTTATTAAAATAAAATTTAAACCCAAATAACAAAAACAGGTGATTGGCTTAAGTGTGTGGGAAGAGAGAAGAGAGGAAGAAGGATCCATTTCTGGACGGTCATCTGGATATTTATTAATTTATGTATTCAGCAAATAATTGCCAACTCATTGTCCAAAAGCCCGTAACAGTATCTAACTTACTGAAGAAGTTAATGACATAATAACTCATTTGAGCTGAATTTCTTTCCAGTCCTGATGACAACAACAAAAACTATTCTAATAAGTAGTCAGAATCAGTGTTTTGTTTTGTTTTGCTTTATCAAAAAGATTTCAAAGGGGAAGAGTCATTTTTCATGTATTAAAATCAGCATTTCATACCTCTTAAAAACCAAAGAAATTAAACAAAGTAACAGCTTATGCTGTTAATTTTATTAGTCGATATTTTAGTTAGCCCAAACTTGTACGTAGTCCTGAGGTAGTTACATGAGATTTTATCTTAAGGATACCATGTATCCTAAAATTCTTTGTCTTAGCTACTAGAAACTTTGAGCCAAAGGTGCAGTCTACCTTTAGCAAATATATAGGCTCCATGGAAGCCTATTTATTGAGCAATTACTATGTTGCATAGTGTATGATACTGTAACAGGGTGCAGCCAAGAGGGGGTACCCAAATAGGGATTTAAAATGGGGTCCAGAACTCAAGGTGTTCAGGAAGTATTAGGATGTCCTCACGGCAACCCCTGCCCCCACAGGTGTGGGTTAGGGGAAGGGACAAATGGAGCAGGGCCATTGAGAGCTGTTTTGCATAGCAACAGCCTTGCAGCTAACCTCTGGCATGGTCATTTAACATATCTATAACCTTTAACTGGTTGCATAGATATGTTAAATAGCTGTGGCCAGGGCCACATGCTCTGAGCCAGGGCAATGGAAGTAACTCCCCCACCAAGACATAACTGGGGGCAGGTCCCCAGAGTTACAGCACCTGCATGAGAGCTTGGAGAAGATTGGCTCCAGGACATGGGGCCACACATGCCCAGACTCATGATGGCAGCCCAGAAAAGCTGGAAGGATATGGGAGTGCTGGCAAGTACAGACAATAGTGGGCAGAGTCGGAAATGGGGCTGCAGAGGAAGACTGGCGGGGATTTAAACCCAGATGCAGCAGCCACTGGAGGGAGAATCACACGGCTTTGGCAGAGTGGAGACTCCTGCAGCCATTGTGAGAGAACTACTCGGTCTTTAGTAGAGTGGGGACTCCCGTGGCCCTGTGAGAGAGAATCACCATGTGGCTTATGCAGAGAATCGCCATTTGGCTTTAGCAGAGTGGCGACTCCCCCCCACTGCTCACAGCCAGTGGAGGGAGAACCATGCGGTTTTGGCTGAGTGGAGACTCCCGCGGCCATTGTGCAGAGAGGACCACACGGCTGTGGCACTGCAGAGAACCATGTGGCTGTGGCAATAGAAAAGAGAGCCTCGCGGCTTTGCCAGAGTGGGGACCCCCTCAGCTTTAGAAGGGGGAACTACCACCTGGCTTTAGCAGAGATCCCCATGACACAGCTGATGGTGCCGGGAACCAAAGGAGGCCTACCAGCTGAGACGGATTACTGGGAAGAACTGGGGGCTGCCTGAGCCACGGACTTCTATTTCTTTTCCTGAGATACGGTACTCTGGACTGGGCAAAGGGGGAAGGAAGGAAGTTGTGTGTTTGTGTGTGTTTTAAGGGACTTTGGGATTTTGATGAAGACATTAGGTCACTACTTCAAGTCTGTACAGCATTAAATAAACATCTCCTTTCCTTTTCATGAATCTCAGGCATTGAGAGACGTCTTTCCTCAGGTGGCAGACATCATGAACCTGGGGGGTTCCTTTCTGTAATAGTATATTGCCTTTGGCCCCCTTTTGTTCTGTAACAATACTGGGAATTTAGTGGTAAATAAGTAAACGTAGCCCTTAGTGAAGGAGTTCATTTTGTAACACTGAAGAGAGAAATTAATCTCAAATGTGATAGAAGGATATAATGGAAGTGGATCTCTAAGACTTAGATGATAGAGAAGGCCTCTTTAAGAAATTGACTTTTCACCTTAAAGCTTGAGTGGTGAGTGCTGAGTGCTGAGAAAAGTTTTCATGGCCAAAACAGTGTTAATATACAGCACCTGAGTTGAGAAAACACAATCTTTTCAAGAAGGTAAGCCAAGTCCAATAAGGATGCCTTCCATTCTGGATGGTGGTGAGATGTAAGGCAAGAATTGTGCAGATTAACTTTACCTTCATACCTTTTCACTTTTAAAATATTTTTAAATCCTTGCTTGAGCAATATATTATATATAATATACAATATATTTATATACAATATACAATATATATAAATATATTGTATATATCTAATGTATACATTAGATATATATCTAATGTATAAATTATATATCTAATGTATACATTAGATATATACAATATATTTCACCTTAGCCTATTTTCATTAAGTGGGCCTATGAAGTTTTCTCTCCTTTAGAAGAAAGAAAAGCCTAGGGTTTGGAGCTTCTCCGCAGTGTTCCATTTAATGCAATACAATTCAATGATATGTAGAATATTAGGGATTGAAAGATGATTATGACAAGGTCCATTAAGAAATCTACATTATCAAGACAGGCAGGGATATGGAAGAACACAAAAACACTTAACTATAATGCAAATCAGATTTTAAGTGGTTTTAAAAGTGTAAGAATGACAAACAAAAATTCATACACACGGACAACAGTATGCTGGTTGCCAGAGGGAACCGGGTTTGGGGGGGAGGTAGTAAAAGGTAAAGAGGGGCAAACATATGGTGACAGGAGGAGATTTGACTTTGGGTATTAAACACACAATGCAATATGCAGATGATGTGTTATAGAATTGTACACTGAAAACCTATATAATCTTATCAAACGATGCCCCCTCAATAGATTTAATTTTAAAACATTGCAAGGATGATGCTGTGATAGACCAGATGTAAACAGACAGGAGGGTTCTTGGAAGGCTTTACAGAGGAGTAATACCTCATTTAGGCCTTAAAGTGTTTGAACAATCAAGGAATAAAGAAAAATTCAATTGGGAGAAATAACATACAGTAAAACATACAGTAGTTCCTGCCTTACCTATAGTTTTGCTTTCCTTGGTTCTGTTACCTGCAGTGAAATGCAGTCTGAAAATATTAAATGGGAAATTTCATAAATAAACAATTCATACATTTTAAATTGTGTGCCATTCTGCGTAGTGTGGTGAAATCTCACTCAGTTCTGGTCTGACGTGCCTGGGATATGAACCATCCCTTTGTCCATGTCATATACGCTGCCCTCTCATTACTCACTGCAGCCTTCTTGGTTAACAGACCCACTGTCAAGGTATCTCAGTGCTTGTGTTCCAATCACTCTTATTTTACTTGAAAATGGTCCCAAAGTGCAAGAGTAGTGATGCTGGAAATTTAGATATGCCAAAAAGAAGCTGTAAAGTACTTCCTTTACCTGAAAGGTGGAAGTTCTCAATAAGGAAATAAAAAAAAAAATCAAGGGAGATGATTCAGCACTGGGATCCTGGCGACTGCCCTCTCAGTTCTCTCCCCAAAGCCACCGTCCCCAGTCTGTCCTCAAGCATCTCTAGTCTACACTCACCCCCTCCCCCTTTGCCAGAGCCCAGGGTAAGTGGCTGAGTGTGAAAATTTATGCATTGACCCTTTAAACCGCTCTTTGTATCTCCAGCCATCATCTCTGGCAGAGAGAAACCCTGCCGCTTTTACAGCTGGATGCTATCTGTGTACTTCTCAGGCTGTGGTTTTTTGGCTGGTGAGCCCAGCTTGGGGTTTAGACACCACAGCCTCTAGGGGATCCCTCCAGCCTCTTAAATACCCCTCTGGCGCTTCAGCTGCCATCTGTAGGTGTCCAGCCAGCCCTCTCATGTCTCCACCACACTCCCTACCCATCACATTGTGTTGAAGCTGTTTCTTCTCTCTGTTCATGCTCATAAGGCTTCTCTCTCATTATTGTTCGGTTGTTTATTCTGGATAATTTCTCCACAATTTAGTTGCAATTTCAGATTGGTCCTGGGAAGAGGTTGGTGTAACTTTCACTCACCGTCTCTGCCATTTTGGATCTGTGTTTAAAATGCCATTCTTGATACCATGATTTTCTTTCAATATTCATTTTACCATCACCCCCACCCTCTTTGCATAATACTGATGTAATTTGAGATACTGATACCCGCTGAGCTCAAGAGGTTAAGGCCTGGTAATTTTGAGCCAATCATTTAATTCATCCTTCTCTTAATTCAATAATTAATTTAGGAACCTACATATAGCATTTTTTCATGACAGAAATTTGTTCAGAAATGACTAGGTGAATCAGTTCCAATCAATGAGGCCTAGATGATTCAGAGGACATTTTTCTTACTATTCAAAGTCTGTAGAGCATGAACACTGACCAATATGAAGAGAGAGTTGTAATAGACAGTGTAGGTATTTATAAACTAAACATCAGGCATGCTTAAGAGGTAGTTTCTTCCTCTTGATGTTGTTATATTTTTATATGAAGCCCACACCTGCTACAGTCATGTCTTTTCCAGACCCAACAGAAGCTCAGAATCACAAAGAATTCATTACATTAAAACAACCCTCAGCCCTACCGAGTAGCTCAGCTGGTTAGAACATTGTCCTGATGCTCCAAGGCTGTGGGTTAGATCCCTGGTCAAGGCACGTAAAAGAACCAACCAGTGAAGGCATGAATAGGTGGAGCAACAAGTCAATTTCTCTCTCCCTTCCT